CAAGGGGGCGTGCGGTTTGGGGGGGGGGGGGGGTGGTGGGTGGTGCCTGCCGATGGCTGCGTGGCAAGCCAGCACAAGACGCAATGCCTTGCTTCAATTTATACTGCCACAGGCAGTTTCTAGGATTGCATGTGGCCCCAGCCATATATTGTGCCTGCTGATCCATGGGGACTTGCTGGCTTTTAGACCTTTGCACCTCTGTCAAATTCTGTTTAAATCAGTTACCTTAAAAACTAGCTAAAATTAAAATAGAGTGGATTGAAAAGCTCTTAAAAATGGAGAAAAGAGCAGAAATTAAAGCTGAGTAGAGTGACTGCAAAAGCATCGTTTTTTCTTTAAACCAGGCTTTAAAGTTGGGGAAGGGTGTCAAAAATTACTGCATTTTATTGCATTTTCATAATGGTTTTACTTATTTATTCTTTTAAAAAATGGTCTCAAGAGTTGCATAAACTTGAAAAATAAGTCATTTGAAAATTCCAAAAGAAACACGTCAAGGATTGTGAAAAAATAAATAAATTATAAAACCCAAACAAGAATGACACCTGTTGGAAACCTAAATTCTAGGGAAACAAATGTCCATTAAATCTATGTAGGAATATAAATTCATTGCACGCATATATACAGGATACACACCAAAGCAGAGGAGAAATTGTTTAGAATAGTTCAGATAGATAGAGGAATAACTGGGATAAATTTATCTCAACACAGGAACATTTAGAGTAGGTCAAATGTGGTAAATCTGTTTAAGATTGGACTAAAGAGAGAACTGGAAGATGTAACATTAGGAAATGTTTCTGCAGTGAGCAGAGAGATGGATTAGATCAGCTACCACGTCTTTTCATCTTTAATTCCACGGGCTCAATGATATATTTAAAATATCTTGGCAAATCTCTAATATAAATTGCTTAGTTTATCACATATAAAACTTTTTAATCTGTCATATTCATATATTTGTCTCTCATCTCTCATAATGGCTACTTACTGAAGTGAGAAATGCCTTTGAATAAGGCTTGCTTAAAACAAAACATTTTCATCCCAGCAGAAAACTGCAGAGATTGAATCATCTTCCTACTGCTAGTTTAAAAATATACCATTCACAGTCAAGGTCAATGATGCTTATTGTGATGAAACAAAATTGTTTGCTTCGTAGATGGAATTCACGTCTCCTTGGTACTCGTATTTTTAAACTGATGCCTTACTTTTAACTGCATCTGCTGATAACTCTACAACATAATCAATCAGCATTTTTCTTGTAATTGTTGTGCATGTCTGGCACATTTCAATGGCTAAAATGTAGACATCGATCCGTGTTTAATGGCTGTAATCATCCTTTGCATTAATTTATCAGATATTTAAATGGTAAGAAATAGATACATTGTTCTTACTTTCCTGACCTTCAGCTCAGTTTTAACGTACCTCCTCCAGAGATCTAGCACCTCGCTATTGTTCATTTTCTGAAGCTGTGATTCAGAGAAATTGTACAATAAATTTTACTTTGGAATACTTTTAAGACCACTTCTTGACAAGAAATTTAGATGGCATCATTATTTATTTTTCATGTATATGTATGTGTACTGTATGTGTTCTTAGCTGATCATTAGCAGTGTCAGTTCATAGCAGAGCCAAATCACACATAGGTATTAGGAGCTGTGATAACTATCCTTTCTAGTTCTCAAATAATTATAAAACATTATTGCACGTTATTGTTGAAAGCATTTTTTAAAATCATACTTTGGACATAACGGCTTAGAGAAGATTTTTGGTGTTTACTGTTCCCGTAAAGTGAAGTTTGTCAAAAAGTCTCTTTCCAACCATCTGAAAAATGCAAATAAACTAACTTCTCCTGGTTTACATGTATGTCAAAGGAGCAAATTAAACCGTGTAGAAGGAAAACTGATACTTTTTATTAAGCCAAATACAGCTGAAAGAAAGAAGCAAGAAAGAAACAAGCTGGTGGACACAAATACACAAGCCTCTGTACAAGCTTTGTCTCCTGCATTTGTGGACCATCGTGATTCCAATGATGCAGTTAGCTCAAAGCATCCAGTGGCTTTGTTGCTTGGGTAGCCTGTCAGAGAAAAAGATTTACTTCCAATAAATATCATTTTTTGTGCAAAGTCAAGGGATTTTTTACTGATTGTCAAGGCTCTACACCTAGCCGGTACAAACCTAGGACTCAATGTCCAAAGCCGTTATCTTCTTTCTAAGGTGATGTTCAGGGGAGTGAGTGATATATACCACCCCAGTCTTGGTGATTAGTTTCAGTAGACTGAGGGAAAAAAACACGCCAAATATACTGAAGTTTGGATTCTGAATCTCAACCAAGTTATTACTGGTATGACCCCCAAAATCAGTTACGTAATTAGAATCATTGCAAACTGTTGATAACTGATTGATAGCTGCTAAGCCAGCATTTGGCATTTCTTCTTCCACCAGCAATCAATAAAATGGGAAGACACAGAAACATCCTGTAATTGTCATTCAGCAATCATTCCTTTCCAGCTTCCATAAATTGGGAAGCAGCACGTTGTCCCAGTCTCTGTGCTGCTGTTCCTCCTGAAAAATGCTACGTGCTGTCTTTCTTCATCACCAGTATATGGCAGAAGGGCCCCATACAGCTTGGGGCTATATCTTGTGAGCGTGCAGGCTCACATGCTTTCTTCTGCTTTCTCTCATTTTAACTGTATCTATTCTGAGTCTAAACAACTCAGCTGTTGTTATTTTCTGGATATGTTCTATATGTGTGCGCGCGTTTATATTGTGTATTCTAAAAAAAACATATCTGGAGACAAATAGGGAAATGATATGAAAAGCAAAATCAAAATTACTTTTCCAGGTGCCTGCACAAGTTACAAGTCACCCATATTAATTCATTTGTAATTTATTTTTAGTTAAACTTCCCCAAAACATTGCAAAGCTATTTTTTCCCCAGTACAATGATCGTATTGTTTTTAATTATATGTATTTCTTCAAATTTTTTAAAGGCAGCTATTTATATCACTGAAGTACAGCTCAGTAAAATCAGACCTCAGGAGTGGAAAGGCCTCTGTGATTGTGATATATTCCTGTGAAGGGTATTTCAAGCATTAATTATGTAAAACAGGAAAATATTGCATGAACAAATAGGAATGGCTTTGCTGATCCCTGAGTTATGTGAACAGTTTTACTGGGAATTAGATGCTGCTTTGCCTCTTTATTTTAGACAGATTAAATGGTTCAACAATTTCCTCATTCTTAATGTTGCATATAACTGAAGTGAATTAAATAGCCACTGTAGTTAAGAATAAAAAGTAACAATGATAAGGATCATGATCCAGTATATGTGTTATATCCTGAAGCCATTCTTCAGCCAAAATCACTTTTGAAATCAGGATTCCCGTTAAAAAGCACTTGGCTTGAAAAGGCTGGGCTGGACAGAAGGTGAAGTAAAAACAAGAGACATCTAGCTCTGCCAACCTAAAAATACTGTCTAGTGTTAGTTTTCCTTGTTGAAAGAACTGTTTGGGTTTGAGTTATTTTAAACATTTAAGAGAATTTAATCTAGCAGAAGTAAATATTAAAGCAGTCTTTGAATAAGAAGTGCAAAAAGTCAGTTTTCTGAAGTTTTCAATGCTTTAGAGCCTGGATTGCTTTTTGTCACATTTTCATTTTTTTTTCATTTAAAAAGGCAAATTAAGAAAATTGGGACAAACTTTCTTTGTTTGGGGTTAGTCTGCATTTTTCAGGAAGAAAGGGCCGAAAATATTGTCCGCTACTGGTTGGGAAAAACTTGCACCACATGCAGTCCCTGTGGTTCCTGTGTATATTCCAGTGCGACTGTGGTAAAACATCCTCTTTGTACTGCTCAGATCTTGGATTTTTTCCCCCATTTTTGGAGAACAATGCATGCTATGTCTGTCCAAACTGTTGGCAAAGATGTGATGATTTCTCCTCTTCTTTTTTTCAGCGCCAGCGCTAAGGCTGCCCCACTGAACATTAACAAAGTCTCCAACAGCTTACTGAATTTTGGCCGAAAGCTTATTGCTCCGGCTATGGCTTCAGGTGGGGCTGGGGGTGCTCCTGCCGGCGGGAGCAGCTTTCCTCCCCCTGCAATGCCCATCAGAAGCGCAGTGGAAACCTCCCAGCACCACTACCACCACCAGCACCACCACCACCACCACCAGGCGCAGCAGCAGAGGATGATGAAGTCCGAAAGCATGCCAGTTCAGCTGGGCAAAGGTAAAGGTGAAACATGCGGCAGTGCTGCAACAGAGGGAAGTGGTGTTGTACGTCTTAAGGACTGAAGAAAGTCCTTTTATTGATTTTATATCGATGGGTGGATATTTGGAGGAAACAGAAAAAACAGAGTTGTGTTAAGCAGGATGTCTATGCTGAGTACAACAGCACATTTGCAATGCAATACAGAATTAGATGTTATCTCAAGAATGTACAAGTACTATAGGAAGTTTTGAACCTTTGAAAAAGTATTAACCAGAAATTACATCAGACATAGCAATAAACTACATCGTTACCATAAACATTGGCCAATTAATTTTTCAGTCTTTTAAATGCAATATATTTTTAACTGTAAGACTAATTTCATATAGGTTTTTTCAGGTTATTGGCACAAATCCCATGCATTAGGTAAATATGAGTGAAGGAAGTTAGATCAATTACAGAGTAATTCTTAATAAACAAAATCTTATTCCCTTTAGAATGTGTGGAGCTTGAGAAGTTATTTGAACAATAACATGTATTTGCCTTTTAATAATTTATGATGGCCCTCTGCACTTTCTCTGTTTAGTAAATACTACTTTATCTTGAGTCTTTTTTTTTATATTTCTCGAGGACAGTTTATTCAAACAACAAAGTCACAAGCTCAGCTTTGGTAGTTATTTCCTATACTCTGCCAGGCTCAAGGTGTGTTACTGCTTTTCATCTTCAAATGGCCTATGGCAGTATGTTCTTTGCAAGCAGTAAGTCTAGCAACTCATCCTAAGTAGCGGCTATAAATTTGAGGGCTGGTGCTGGTTGCCCTGAACCATTACGTAGGATTGCATCATATATTTCACCAGATTTGAAAATATAAGAGAAGGGAAATAACACTTTGTAGCTAGAGTTGGTGTTCTTTCTCTTTCCTGTGGCACCCATATGGTCCAAAGTTAGTCCTTTCATGATGCATCAGATCCCCAGCAGACACTGAGGGAGCAGAAGTGAAAGGTGCAACCATTCTCTTGAAGCAGAGAGATACAGGCACCTCTGTAAGGGCTACTGCGGCTGCTTGGCAAAATCCAGATACGCAGCTTCTCTCAGAATCGTAGAATAATCTCAGAAATTGCTCCAGCAAGGGTTTTACAGTGCAAACGTGAAACTGAAATGCAGTGAATCCTTGACGCAAATCCTGTTCGCAACAATGGAAGTAAAATTAGGCGTGGAACGAAATTATTTCCACAATTTCGGAGAGGCTCTTTTGTTTGCTTTTTTAAAAAAGTTTTCCATAGTTCCCTTATCACATTATTCTTTGTTTACCTTTTGGGTTGAGAAGTGGTCCTTGGGTGGTTATTTTCTTTCCCTGCTTAATGTAAAAAAAGTGTACAATTTGAAGCAACTTCTATAGGTGGAATCGATCATAGCTTAATCTTGATCTCGCTGGTCAAGGACAACCTTGTTTACACTTGTATGTGCCAACTAACATGTTGCATCGCCCAGAAATGCACCTGACACTATCCATACAAGAATCAAAATTAAAAATTGTAGTTATGTTTGGTCATTGTCATGTACAAGCTGTGCACATATTTCTGTATCAAGAGGAATATGGAGATTTGGTAAAGTTAGCGAGAAATTATGCAAATTTATGATGTAGGGCACAAAGCATTTTCATGGTAAGAGGAAATAAAACATACTGCAACGCTTCGGTACCTGCAGCTTCCTCTCACCCTATTCTGTCTATCCATATTTGGTACAACACTTGCAGAAGTAATTTAAAGGCAACAAAATGTAAAAATACTTTTTTTTAATCAGTTGAGATGACAGTGAGTTTTGTTTTACATATTAGTGCCATGCCTGTTGTTCCAGACCTGTACAGTTATCAGTATATTGCCTGTAGTTGGATAGAAATTTTAAATCACGCCAGCTAGCTACATTTGCAAGTGCCATAGTTTATATTTTTAAAGAGAAACCCAAAATGGCAAAGGAAGTATAAAGTATCTTAGAGGCTGCCCAGTGAATTCTCTCTGAAACAAGTTTAAATGTAGGAATATCTTAGCAAAAAAAAAATCCCTATTTGCAATGACACTGTGGCGGAGACAGGCTAAAAAGACCCTTTTGGAGCATGATGCAGGTACCTTTGTAAACAACTCAGCGCCATCTCCATCACACCTTAAAGTGAGAATAAGTCTTATCAGTTCTGCACAGAAGGGCAGTATCACCACCTCAAGAAAGTGCTGTACAGCATCTCCAGTGAATGAGGGCACTCCCCACAGCTCTGAGAAGTTGTGGGTACTTCTATCCCAGGCATTAAGATTTAGGATTTAGAATATATCCATACGTTGAGAAGATCTCATTCCACTTCTGTTTGTGCTGAACTTTTTACATGCCTCTTTACCTTCTGCACTGGCTTTTTTCAAACTCTGGATTCTGCTCTAGCTTTTGAATATCTAAAAGCTATTTGGCGTGGTTTGTAACTGTAAGGCTCCCAAGTTACTGACTAGCTATCACTAATTGTCTTATGTTCCTGTTCTTCACTGTGTTTTCAGCTCTCTGCAACCTCCTGGAGCTTGGTTATTTAGCTGAGGTAGGCAGAGGCACGAATTAAGGATTTAAATTGATAGACATTTGCACTTCCAGTTGATCTAACACTCACAGATGCTAAGTTGGACGGTATAGCAGACCGATGTGCTGTAAATCTGACAGGCATCAAGTCATAAAAGAAGTTATCCGTTTTTCTCATATTGTATTAGTCCTTGCAGGTTTTGAGTGCTCAAGTAGTGCTGATAATTTAAATTAATATGTAGAGGGTTATAAGTTTGAAGAGATTAAATTTATTGCCTGATCTACTTTTTTATTAAGTGTGAAGAAGTCCTTGGTAACAAAATATCTTGCAGGACTGGCAAAATAATCTTATCCCAGCTTTAGCAGCTCTGTTTAGACACCAACCAGCAGCAGTGACAGGTGTCATTCGTGCTGCCACCTCCAGGGGTAGCTTGTGCCATACTCTAGATGAGGGATGGTTGGTTTACATAATCGATAGTCATTATTTCTCACTCCAAAGTTTTGGTGCTTGCTGAATTTTTTTAAGTAAAAATTCATATAATTTAGATAATGTGAATGGAAAAACATGATACTAATATTTTTTAAAAAAGATGTATTTGCAAGCCTGGAATTCCAGATGAGTCTTCAGCATCACAAATCACAGTTGAACAAGGTATCCAGACACCTAATTGGAAATTCAGTTCCTCCTAATAATATATTAATACCAGTCAGCCTGTCCTCAGCACAGAAGAAGATTTGGTATCATTACTGATTACTTATGCAAGGTAGCCTGCTAATAGAAAAGGGATTGAAATATTCTCTTGATCCTACACAATGAAGGAATTCATTGGAGCAAAGGTTAAATTCAAATCTTGAGTTCATTGGATTGTCAGTTGAGTTCATTGTCTTGAAAGACAAAAATGTTGGTAACGAAAAAGTCAGGGAAGAAAGCAGAATTGTTGCCCCTTGCGTTCCACTGGATTCTTGAGTGTTCAGAAACTGGATACTCTTTGATTACCAAGTGGCAGTGTGTTGCCAGAAAAACATTTCTCTTTCGCTTCTTCCCTGATAGCGCCAGATACAGTTTTTCTTCTAGGTCCTTTCACACCAGAACCCAAAAGGGTTTTGATTTGAATGCCGCTTTATCACAAGGACATGTTAGAGGACCAGTTTGAAGATGAAGTTCTGCCAAAACTGTGAGCAGCTATTTAGAGTTTCCAGACTACTGTTTGTTTTTATGAGTTGATACTTCTGCAGTATTTGTTGTAATACGAACAGAATTTCCACAGTCACCGAATATGCCCTAAAGAAATGATCTCCATATTTAGAATTATTTATGAACTGTGTCTAGAATATGAGTATGCTTTTTCAGAAGGAAAAAGTTCTTCTTACTGATAGCAGAACTGAATTAAAATTAAAGTAATAAACACTGGTTAACAAATGCTTTTTTTTCCTTTTTAAACAACTTATAAATATACATATTCTTAGGTAATTATGAAATTTTATTGACAGTGAGAATATGATGCTCCCAAACTAGCAGAATGACGCTGTCAGTGTAAAGTACCAGAAACAAAATGGTTGTTTGTTTTAGTTTAGATTCCGATATAAATCAGTCGCTTAAAAACACTGCTGTTTTGCACGTGTCTGAATGTGACATATAATGCACTGATTATTAAAACTCCCCATCTGTTTTTGCCTGCTCTTACACCACTCTCTTACAATGTCATTTGTGTTCGAAGCAGGATCTTCCAGCTAAAAACGCCAAAGTTGCAGCTCTTTACTTTCAGTGAACTGCATTTGTTGGCGAAACCTTCTAACGCTGTTGTTTGTTCCCCAGGCGAGGCGGGCGCGGGCAGCGATGCTGGGCTGCCGGGCCCCGCGCAGCATCCCCCTGCCCTCCCAGGTACGGCTGCTGCGGGCCGTTCTGTGCCTGCAGCCTTATCCTCCGGCTGCCCAGCCACCCCCGCGGGTTTTTTCATGCGTGGCGTCTCCATCCACTGCCATTGTCCATCCACCGAGTGGCACTGTTGTGTAGAGAGAAAAAAGCAGCTTCGCTTCATCGCTCCCTGATTGTGCCGTGTGTGGCCCTTCGGTTACGTTCGCTGTGCACCAGCATCCGTCTTCGTTAAAAATGTGTCTTTGCCTTGTACTTTGTGGTCCATTTCACACTTTGTCATGTGGGGCGATTCGACCATCAACGTCTTTTTTAGTTGCGTTACTTCCCTGTTGCTGTATTTGAGGCAGGTATTTTGAGCTGAACATCTACTTTAATGCTCTTGACTGAAGAGGAGCTTACCTGCCTTGGCCTGAAATAATAACCATATGGATTTGTGTGATGAGACCGTTTGAATAAATTTTAAAAGTGCTGGAAGCCTTTGTTCCAATTTCAATGTAGGAGAAAAAGGGAAACTAATTTATCTGAAGTTTAAAAGTTTTATAAAACTCATATCATTCTTTTTGCAAATTTTAATACTCTACATCCTGACTATGGCAAATACAGAGTAATAGATGAGCAGATCTGAGTGGTTTTGAATTATAGATTGCGCCTTACTTCTGTTCTTCTTAGTATCTTTGTCCTTGCTCTCCTTATAACTATGAAAGCTATTCTTTTCCTCTGTAGGAGTGAGCCATCAGTTTTGTATGCCTTTTGTGCATGTCTTCTCTGACTTTTCCTGTATTTTAATAGAGGCCTCCAAAGTTCATGATTATGTCCCCTACAACTTAAACTTAGTAAGACCTGCAGCTTGCTTTTCTTTCATCATAAGTTTTCTCCACTCCTCTCGCCATCATCTTTTACTTTCTTGTAAATCCCTATTATAGATCACATTACATTTAAACTTTCCTTCTTCTTTTCAAGATATTTCATGTCTCTACCCTCTGCCTTGCTAGCAATACCAGCAGTCAGTTCAGTCCCTTTTCCCACTACCACATCTGTGTATTTTCCAGATGGTTTTGAGGCCCGTTTGTAACCCTGGGGTCAGGCCCAGTATCATTAGCAACAGGCAAGTAGCGAGCCAGTTAGAAGCCAGCACACGGAGGTAACGCTGCTCCTTTTCACCTCCGAAGGGGATGTATTTTTAGTGCATGAAATCCTGTGCATCATTACTGTGAACTATTTATGCATTTTAGTGTGCACGTATATATTTTTGAGACATCCTACACAGTAATGTGTTCTGACTACTGCTTACGTCAGGGTTCCTTAGGTGTTTGTTCTGCATGCCTTATAAGCATTTATTTGATTTCCATGCTTGTGGTTTCTTCAGCCTGTTTCATATAGGCTTTAGGACCTTCTGGTATACGCTTAGATAGTCAGAGATTAGATTTATCTAATCTTCTTTTAAGGAGGCATAATGTATTTATCTAAGATTGATACAATGAGCAGAGGAAAATGAAAGTTTTGATTCAGTGATGTTCTCAGGTTGCCGATTAAGCTGCTAAAGAAGAAGGAGATGAGTTTGGTTAGTTATTAACTGTAGTTTATTGCATCACTTTATATATTTTGATTGTACATGGAGGGTAAGAGTTCTGGATTTGGGGATTTTTCTTTTTTTTCCTGAGGAATTGGAAAATTAGAAATTCTCTCGAATGACCTTCTTGTTGAGCTATTGAGTGAGGAGAACGTGCCACACTGCTTATTAAGAAAAATGCGGAATCAGTGAGACACACAACAAAGAAGATACAAATGGTATTTGTGTAATCCTCCCAAGAGCCTGAAATCTCTGCATCGGTGCTACAGTGTTATTTCCAAAGTTACGTGAGGGTTGTTAATGCCTCAGAAATCGGTGCACACATAATACATCTGAAAGACTTCCAAAGCATCATGGTGACTTCAGTTAACTGTTCTTGCAGCAGCTCCACTAAACTCCTGTGTTGGGAAGATGGTAGGTGGCTTTTTTGTTACATTAGGGAAAACGTATGATTGGTGTGACTTGTCTTTCAGCTTTCTTACTTACAGTTGTGAAAATGATGACTCCTCTGGAAATTGGAAAAGCCTATTACAATCCACGAACTCTGCTTTATGACTTGCAACACAGTGTAATTATTCATAAGTGCTATTCTTTCTGTCTTGCTTAATTCTTAATCGCATCCCCAAATAATCCATGTCACAGTGCTCTTCACAGGGTTGGAGTCAGAATAAAAATTTAGCGTTTCATGATGATAATTTTCTCAGATTTGCTTATTCATGCAGAAGGATCAGGTGCATCCTAAGCCTTCTCCTTGCCTGGGTATAAAACATACAGAAATAGTATTTTTATCACTTCCGTTTTACTGCATCTCTATCTTAATTTCATCACACCTTGTATTGCTTTTATTTTTCATCTTCATTATATTTTATAGTCCATAAGAACCAGATTAGTCAAAGCTCTTGGTGTTATTTGAGCAAATTCCCTTTTAGGACAGTTGTATTGTTCTGTTCACAAAATCCCAGCTATACATATTTCTCCTCTTGTTTGGTTATGCAAGTAGTTGCATATTCCATTCCTCTAAACTGTGATCCATCTTTTGAAGTGTAGCTGTTTAGTAAGCAAAGCAGTGACCATAAGGATAGTTCTCTGTCTTTTCAATTTCCTACTATATTTTAAACTTTTTTTTCCTTAGAGCTGAAAGACACAATACAGAAAAAAAAAATCCTTATGAATAATTTTTCCATCATTTTACCAAGCTGTATTATTTCATGTGCATGGTTCAAATACATTTAAAGTGTCCCTCTCTCAATGCTATCTATGAAATTTTACCACATAATCTCCTTATTTGCAGGTGAATTGGGCTAAGCGCAGGCCACGCAGTGGAGGAGTATGTGAAAAACATACATTGCTTCTTGTTTAACTTTTTTGTTGTTTTTTTAGTCTTGATCCTATGTGGAAGATATCTTCATATTACTAGGATGGGAAAGACAGCCCATTTACTCTGATTTATACATAATAAAATATTTTTTCATTGTACTTACTTTGTCCACCAAATAGATTTTTTTGTTTAGCATTTATATTGGCTGCTCTGGCTTAGCTGTATGAATTTCTTTTATAAATGCTTTATTTGCTAAAATATGTAATTTCATCTGTTCCGAAACTATTTTTAAGTTTTACCTACTGTAAAACCACACTTCAGTTGTAAATTGCCACTATGAAATGCATAAAAAGTCTCCTTCTTATATAAAGGCAACTGTAAGGATAATGGTGTTGCCAAGTGACATGATTTTATCCTAAAATTAGAAGTCTTCTAAAAACTTCCTTGTGACTGAATTATTTCTTCTGTTTGCCATGCAGTGTTTTCTTCTTTTCCATTTCTAGAATTATTTAGAGAATTGGAGATTCTATTTTCACCTAATTAACACATATCCCATTTCTCTTTAAAATGTGAAGGCAACGGTTAAGTGAGATCTTACAGCCTCCATCTCCTACACTTTAAGGAAGCTGTTCAGACTAAATTGTAGGTGATAAGTGACTAGAGGAGGGCTGGGAAGAAACGGAAAAATGCAATTGAATGAAGTTTGTGGGAAGGGAAGAATATGTAGAGGAAGAAGTTGGAACAAGGAAGTGGCAGAAGCAGAAAAGGCAATGTGGAGGGGTCTGAAGAAGAAGAGGAGGCAGACAGAGGAAGGTCCACAGGAGTATGAGAAGCAGGACATGAAATGTAGGAAGGTCATGGGAGAGAAGAGGAAAATCAGGCAGGAGGGAATGAAGGAGAAGGTGGGAAGCAGTTTATATGCCAATTTTCTTGCAGAAAACATTGAGAATATTAAACCCAGATCCTTTCTTGGGTTTTCTGCTTTTTGGTCTGTTTTGTCACATGTGATGTTTTCTTCTTTGCTAGTTCCATCTCTTCGCATTTAACAGTCTTCTTGCTAAGATGACATTTTAAATAGATCTGTATTTATTCCCTTAAGAAAATGTGAATTACGGGTTCCATGTGGCTGCGGCTGTGCAATATATGCTGCGTAGGTCAAACACCACGGAGAACTTGGCTCAGGCTTTGTCTTCACCCGGCAGGTGGCCAAGCACAGCACTGCTGACTTCCACACCACTTCGAGGACAGTTACCATTCTAGATCTTAAATGACTGAATTAAGTTAAAATGTTTCTGTATGAGTAGGTTTAGCTAGTTGTTTCCTTTTGTTTAAAATGTTTGATCTCAACAGAGCTGGTCTCCTTTTTTATCTAAACCTGAATTTCTTTCTGTGTTTTCTGCAGCATTTTCTGCCTCTATTTTCTTTCATTTCTTTGTCTTTTAGTTTTCTTTTATTTCTCTAGAAATCTGTACCGTGGGGGACGACCACAGTGCATGATGAGGGGGAGACTAACCCATTCCGGAAAAGGAGTTAGTTTTGTATTTTCAAAATTGGTAGTGCATCCACAATGACAAAACACTAAATACTTTGTAAGATCTGTGCAATAATATTGACATATCTGGGAGTAAAACTGGCATAGAGGGTGGGAGCAGCTCAGAGCAAAGAAGGATGAACCACTGGCATCTGCGAGGGAGGTAGTTTCAAATTCGACAACCTTGCAAAGGAGATGAAGCTGCACCTGTGACATCTGAATGATTTAGTTTGAGAATCATTCTTGATGCTATACATGGTAGTATGAAAAGCACACCAAAAACAAAGGAAAGGAAAAAGGGAGGACATAAACTGACTCATCAGAATAGCCGACAAAACAAGAAAAGGGAAGAATTCTAGAACTTTAGTTTTATGTGCTATTTTACTTTTCGGAATGGAAAAGGTGGAGATGGCCTTAAAATTTGAAGCATGCGAACTTACATTCTGTCCCAAACTTAACTTCCTTTTCCCTGTTGTAAGTCTAGACATTGTCATCTCGATGTTCAATGCCCAAGTCATTCTTGGAATCTGACATTCTTGTTCTTAGCTTTCTTTGCCAAGTTTTATAGTTTATTTGTTGAGAGAAAAAGGATTTCCTTTGAAGTGTTGATGACATCAGATTTTTTTTTGTTATGAGATGGTACTTTTGCTCATTATGCCACACAGGGAAGAGAAGGTCCTCAGTCTATGGGTATAATAGACTATATATACTGAGATGGTATTTCTTTTTTCTTTTTTTATGTATATATATATATAGTTTAGCACATATATATACACACTATATATAGTGTGTTTGTATATATATCTATATATACACTAAGATTTTGTATGTTTCTCTCATACAAAAATTAAGTTCCCTGTATGTCAGAATAGTCCTTCAATCTCACAGTGCATGCTGACACACTTCAACATTTCATTCTGTGTTGACCTATCTGTGAATCTCAGTCAATGTCAATTAAGACAAGGAAGTATTTACAAGGACAAGAAACTGCCCATTGATTAATTCTAATGTTACTTTATACTTGCTTTATAGGCCAAAGTTCAAAAAACGTCAGCTCATCCCCAAGCATAGAGAGCCTGTCTGGCGGACGTGAATTTACAGGATCTCCACCATTGTCTGCATCAAAAAAGGATTCCTTTTTCAGTACAATCTCCCGCTCCCGTTCCCAAAGCAAAACTATGAGCAGAAAAGAATCGGTGAGTTCTTTAACTTTTTAAGCTATTTTAGTGTCACACTGCATTACTTGTTAGAGCCAATCATTTCTCCCATTCATTAAGCACTTGCACTTGAAAATGTTTTCCTAAGCACACATTAATGGCAAAAGCAGAAATAAGCTATATTTCAACTGTTTCTGTTGAGTAACATCTCCATTATGACTTCCATCCCATAATCCTACCTGAAATGAAACTGTGAAAGCGCCTGTTGCCTCTGAGAAACAGGAGAGAAGTCCTGTAAGTTTATTTGCTTTGTTAGACTTTTGGTGTAATCCTGAAGTTAATAAAGAGTTCAGTGGGGAGCACGAATGCTCAGCAGATCCAAACATGTCCATCTGTTGCCCCTGAAATTCCTTAATACATCAGAGGTTTCCCAGTGTCTGTAGCATCTGTAGTCTGCAGTCACAGTTCTATTTCTTGCACAGCCCTGTCCTTCCATTTGGCCACAAGAAACTGTTATTTAAACAGATTGTTCTCATCCAAGAAAGTTGGCTCTTATCATGGGTGTGTTCCAAAGAAATTCTCATCCTATCAAAGGTATTTTAGGAGCACTACTTTGGTAAACCTCATATCCCATGGAGCAGGAGGATTCTTCTTTATTTTATATACGTTTCCCATTGTCTTTCTGCTGATTAGTAACCAGCTACGTAGTAGATGGAAAAAGTTGTATTTTTTGTAAGATGAAGGCATAGTGGTTTTCTCCATTCCATTTTCACAAATGTATGCTCATATAACTTCCTATTGATTTCAATAAATAGGAATTGTAATAGCAATATTTCTATATTACAGCATTCTTCAGGTGTTCAGAGGTAAATAGTGTGCAGAAGTTTAATCAGAACATCTCAGCATTTTTGTCTCTAAACAGCAGAATCTTTATTAAGTCACATCATATATTAAATTTGATATTTAAAATGTTCTAATGAAATGCACAACTTTGTTCAGTTTTTGTGCACTGAAAGGGAGGGTTTAATTCTTGTTCCACATGCTTTAATGTTGCCTAAAGAAAAGCTGTGTTTTGTGGTTAGTCAACAAGAAGCTATAATTTTGGTTTGTGTCCATTTAAGACATACTGAATTGAATTTAAAGCAAAACCAACAACTTAATATCTCTCTGCTTGTCCTCATGAGTTGAAGAAAAACAAATATACCAATATTGAACTTTTCTTTTTATGTAGTTTAACAAGGTCTAAATCCAGCTTTCATTTGCAACTATTGTCCAGGCCAGAACTTTTTTTGCACTAGTAGAGTTTAAGAATAATTCCTCCTTAGTTCTCTGACTGGAGACATAGAAGAATTTTCCTTTATAATATTCATAGTCCATTAGAACCATTAACGATTACCATGTTTTTCAGGTAAATAATTTCCCAAATTTGTGATATTTTATTAATGTTTTTTTCAAGGATTTTGGACAAAGAAGTACTCATTGAAACAGATTTGTAGTCCTTATGATAATTTTTGGTAGATTGGTAATCATGATAAACTAAGCAGAGCATAGATTTTCAAAAGAATTCTTTGAACTGTGATATATACTTAATATTGTAGCATTTTATGATCGAACAGCTAGAAAAGGTTTAAGATTACCAAAATCTATTTCCTTACATTCAGTTTTTGACTGACCTTTAATAGAGGGAAAAGGTATTTGTAGCAGCTCCAAGAGGAAAAGGTTTGTTTAAATCTGGTCTCTGTTGCTCAAGACGATGTTTGGGTTTTGTTTTCCTGTAAATTTCGTGATACCTGGTTTTCCACATAGAGAGGAAAACCCCAAAGAGTTCATCCTGAGGTCCCAAAATAGTTGCATCAGAATACTCCAGTCTCATAGTTGTTTCATGTACAGCTGTTTTCTGGAGGCAAAAGACAACTTGAAAACATCATGCATTCACATCTTTGTTTTATTTACAAAACCGAACTGGTCTACATTTTTACATTTGTCCCTAATAATTATACAGATTATGTTGTTAAGTATTGGGGAAATTACCTTTGTTGGAACTTGACTATGCATCAATCACTTCATAAAAATATGCTTTTAAAATCAGTCATTCTTGGTATAATGGATGAAAGAGAATCAATTTCCCCTTCATCTTCGTACTTCTAATTAATGCCCTTCCCAAGCAAAGCAGAAATGGAATACATGCATAAAAATACGTCCTTCAACATGGAGTTAAAAAAAGTGATTTTCACAGACGAGGACATTACTGTAACGTTGTCATGGGATGAACAGGAATGTCGTCATCTCAGGTCACACCTGGAGTCCTGTGTCCAGTTCTGGACTCCCCAGTACAAGAGAGACACACATACTGAAGAGAGTCCAGGGAAGGGCCACAAAGGTGATGAAGGGACTGTGGCACCTCTTCTGTAAGGAAAAGCTGAGAGCTAGGACTGTTCAGCCTGGAGAAGAGAAGGCTCAGGAGGATCTCATCAATGTGTATAAAGGCCTGAAGGTAGGGCGCAAAGAGGATGGAGCCAGGATCTGTGGGCTGCAGTGGGCTTCAGTGGTGCCCAGTGACAGGACCAGAGGCAGTAGGCACGAACTGAAACATAGGAGGCTCCATCTGAACATCAGGAAACACTTTTTCACTGTGAGAGTGACCAAGCACTGGCACAGGTTGCCCAAGGGGGTTGTGGGGTCTCCATCCTTGGAGATATTCAAAAGTCATCCAGACATGGTCCTGCGCAGCCTGCTCTAGATGGCCCTGCTTGAGCAGGGGGTTGGACAAGATGACCTTCAGTGGTCCCTTCCAGCCTCAACCAGTCTGTGATTCTGTGACAGGATAAACTGGAATGCGACTTGTCTAAATTCTTTCTTTCCTAAAGCCAGTCCAACAAATGGGACTTTCTCTGGGAGGGTTCTGATCAAAATTGATACTTAAATTGAGTCATTGCCTCCAGGAATAGGATGTCTCCATTTCTCATATTAAGAACTTCTTAAGGTAGTAACATTTACGTTATATTTAGTCTTCTAGATCCTTTTTTCCTCTCAAATGCAAAGATCAATAGAATGACTTTTTTACTGCTGTTGCCAGAAACAGATGTCCTCTGTTTTATTTAGTTAAGGAAGTGAATCTACAGCCTCAGGGCTGAATGCACAATATCAGATCATGTTTTGGCAAACCATGGCAGCCTGATGTTTTTCATGTTACTGTTGAGTGGCACTCAGCTGTATGTTAACATGAGACCCACCAAATGTGTTTGAAAGTCTGTTTTGTGCTCAGCAGTGAAATGGTTCCCTACCTCTTTGTACAGTTTACGGCTTTCTGACAGGAATAACTTAGGTTGCAGTTTCTGGAGCTGTCTTCCCATAAACAAAAGCAGGAACATTGTAATATGTAATGCCCTCCAGTGCCTGTTATCTTCTGGCTGGGTCAGTCTTGCTGGGATAAAGTCCTAGAAAATTTCCTCTCATAGCCTGCCTACTGCCCTCTCCTTTTTGGCAGAGTTGGGAAATTGGGTGCATCTGTGGTCCGTTTATTTCTCCTTATATTTCATTTACATCTCCAGCGACCGTTAAGGATGGCCTACCGCTCTTTTTGGCAAATAGCAAAGCTGCTTAGAGCTTGATTCTGGCAAATATGGTTGGCTGGTCTCAGGTTCGGGCAGAATATTCTGTAAATTGCTTTCTGCCATAGAGATATGCCAGAGAGGGAACTTCGAGTCAAACAATATAAACATTTAAAAAACTTTCATTAAAAAAAAACAGGAGAAAGATGATTTTGACTGAAAAGAAAGTTTTGATTTTGAGAAACTTTATATTTTAATAAGTAAATTTCTACATAAAAGGTTTCTAGTTAAGAAAAATCAAGTTATCCATTTGGAAAATACGTTAGTTAAAAAATTCCCAAGAAGGAAACATTTCTAAGGAAAATCTGGAGCAGTTTATTTCCTTTACTAAAATAGTTTACAAACATGGTCAATCAGAATCCTCATTTCTTAGCAAAAAAAATCCTGAACAAAAGTGTCATGCATCATGCTGGTTTTGATTGCACAGACTTTTTAATTAAATCAAATTTGACAACATATGCTGTTGTCCCCACGAGCAGGTAGAAACAACTGTTGCTGTCTGTGATTTACATCGCTAGTCTGACTGATTTGAAGTTAGTTATGAGTACCCCTACAGGTTAGAAAATTAATGTATGCCATTATTTTCAATTAAATAGACATCTGCTCTACTGATTTAGGAACCTGATTTTAAGCACACAAGCTTGACAGTTTTGCTCAAGTAGAAGTAGTATACAAAAATCAAAGAGATAATAAAATAAATACTAGACAACCATACAAAAAAATCATGCATGCAAAAATTCCTTTGAAGAAGAGCATGCCTTTTGTGCATGGTGCACATCTTGGAGACTTGTTTTATTCCCATATATCTTTTCCCTGACTATTATTTTTAAAACCTCTTTAAAAGGCTTTAAGCAAAATATTTGTCAGTCCGTACTTACCAATGCCAAACATTTATTCAGAAATACAAATGCTATGATGAAATGTCCTTTTTTAATTAAGCATCATAAAATGTGACCAGAATAAGTTAACGTCTGTGTACAACAGCCAATTGCCTAATCAGTGTGTTGGATTTGTTAGGCCTCAAGCTAAAGACATGATGATTGTTCTCAGTGCCATTAAGTTTAATGAACTTCAGTGCCTTAACGTTTAACTGCAGTTAATACTGTAGGGCATTTGTCTTTCTTATTCTGATGTCGTAGGCCAGTTCAGACACCTGACAAATGCAAGTTATTTAGTACTTCAGTGCTTGTCTAATTTTAGGGACAGATGAAAAGAATATTCAATCTGAGATGCTGCCAGGTCACGTGAACAGAGTTTGTAGAAAAACCTCTGAGATATTTTGGAAATGTTATTCTTTTCTCAGTTGCCTTCCTCAGGCTCCCACAACATGCTGTAACTCAAATGAAAGAGCTGAAAACAGTACAAGGAAAAATAAGTTGCCTTTTAGAGTTTTTTATTAGAAATACTTGCAAGTTTCATATAATTTAG